AGGTTGCCATAGCTCTCTAGAATTCCCTTGATTGCTTTTAGGATGGCCATCCCTTCAGCCTGATTGGAAGTGCATGCATGAACTCTTGCCGCTTCCTTCAAGTGATGGAGATCATCGGATTTTGCTATACAGGCTACTGCTGCTATCCAGGAGTTTGACTTTGTGTGGGTTTGCCTCTTCCATGCCGCATCTACACATACTGAAATGTTGTTCCTGGATGAAACCTTACCTACATACCATAGCATAGGCTTGGCTCCCTGGTGCATTCTGTACTCTGCTGTATGTAGCCACTTTGAGCTTGTTAGCAGTCTCCCATCTTCGAACGTGCATCTGTGCAACATCTAGTATTTTTCCCGGGGTTGACATTCACGCCTCTAAAACCGATTTCATTTCTGTGTGTCCAGATGGACCATAAGATAGCCACGAACATAACAAGAATTGAAGGGTCAGTAGGAAAACATCTCATACAGTAATTGGTGAAGTTAATCGCCCATTCCCTGTAAGACAAATGAGAAGGGTTAGTGGATAGAATACTAAGAGGGGAGGATGCCCAAACCCGCTTGGAAGTGTTACAGAAGCGGAATAAGTGATTCATGCTTTCCAATTCTTCATTACTTAGAGGGCAATATCCAGGTGTTATTATTCCTCTTTTGCTAGGTTGTCTATCGTAAAGAGGATATTCTAAGCAATCTTCCATATAAAAAGCTTCCAAACTGGTAGAAGATCGGACTTCCAGAGATTTTTCCAGTAGTTCGGTGATGTAGGCTTCCAGAAGTAGGTGTTACTCTTGTTGATGAGGTACTAGTAGCCTGATTTAAAGCTAAAATTCCCTTTCTTGTCATGAGTCCAAGTGAATTCATCTTGTTGTGACTATTCTATCAAGTGGATTTCTACGATATCTTTTGTTGTTTCTACATCAAATTTGTCCCAGATGAGTCTAGCATTCCATTGCCTACTGCTTGTTATTAGATTAGCCACTCTTAGAGGTACTTCTACTCCTTCTCTTCTCATTTGGACTATTCTTCTACTTACCCATAGATATTGCTCTATGAACGTATTTTTCCCATCCCCAATTCTCTTTCCAATTGCTTCTTTATACTCTCCCACAGCTCTGACAAGGCTTTTTGCTGCCAAAGACCCTTTGACTATTTTCCTCCCTGAAAAGCCTATAGATATGGGGTCTGATCCATATCTTAATCTGAAGATTTTGCTTACTAAGAGCTCTGGATTGGAGTACATTCTCCAGCTCTGCTTCATTACCAGACTACTATTTACTGCCCTTATATTTTTCATGCCTAGCCCACCTTTTTGTGCTGAAATAGCACTTCCTTCCTTCTCCAGCAAATACCTTTCTTTGATGTAGAGTCTGCAAACCACCAAAATCTAATTGTAGCAGAGTGTATCTTGTTGGCTATGAAATTGGGGCACTAGTACAAAGATAGAATATGATGAGTTAAAGCCACTAGCACCCCATTTATCAACAGTAGCTTACATGGGAGAAATAGGTGAGAAAACTTCCATGAAGTGATCTTGTTGTGGATCTTCTCCACAATACTTTTGAATTTGGTGCTTGAGCGGCCATCAACATCCATCGGACAACCCAGATAGTTGCCTAACTCTTATGTACTTTTCACCTTCAAAGGTTGTCTAAGGAGCCTAACAAATCTTGAGGATGTATTAGAACTAAACATAATCGAAGATTTTTTCTCATTAACCACTTCTCCTGATATTAGACAAAATTCATCTAGAATAGATTTTAACCATCTGTAGGAGCTAGGTGTTGCTTTGAAACACAAAAGTGCATCGTCCGCGAAGAAGAGATGATTAATAGGAGGAGTTGTTCAAGCAAGTTTGATTCCCTTAATATCACCCTTTTATTGGAGGTAGGTGAGTTTTCTCAAAAGTACCTCCATTACCAATATGAAGAGATAGGTGACAAGGGGTCACCCTGTCTTAGCCCAGCCTTGGATGAGAAGAAGGAAGTCGGCTCCCCATTAACCAACACTGCATATGAGACGGTGGAGATACATTGTAGAATCCAATCTTTCCAAGTGTCTAGGAACTGCATTCTTTCCAAGATTTTCTCTAGAAACTTCCAGTTCACTCTATCATAGGCCTTACTTAGGTCTATCTTGAGTATGCCTTCAAAATGCCCTCTTTTTTTCCTAGTTTTGACCTTTGATAGAATCTCGTGAGCAATAAAGAAGTTGTTTGCCATTAGTCTTCATGGAATGAATGCATTCTGGAATTCTCCAATGATATCTGGTAGGATTGATTTCAGTCTATTGACCATGCACTTGGATATGACCTTGTATAGAGAGTTACATAAGCTGATAGGCCTGAACTCATCTACTTTCTTTGGCTGCTATGTTTTTGGGATGAGTGTGATAAAAGTCCTGTTTGTTTTCTTCGGCATCTTACCTGTCCTGAAAAAATGTTGAACTCCTTTGATAACATCTTCTTGTACAATGTTCCATTGCTGTTGAAGAAAACAAGGAGGGGTTTCATCTGGGCCCGGTGACTTGAGGGGGTGAGGGGGCGAAAATGACCTTTTTTATTTCCTCACTTTTGAAGGGCCTTTTTAGCCAGGCCTTATGAGAGTCCAAAAGTTTTGGTAAATCTTTAGTCCAGTATTCTATGATGGCAGCTGCGTCTTGTGCCTAGGCTTCATTTAACAAACTCCCATTGAACAAGTCTTCATAGAATTTCTTAAATTGGGCCTTGAACTCTCCTTGTTCAGTAGCCCAAATTCCATTATCTATTTCTAAGGCTCTAATTTCCGCGCTTAGCGTTCTTTGTTTTACACTTTTATAGAAGAACGTCATTGACTTATCACCAAAACCACCACATTTTGACTTTGACCGCTGCTTCCAATACCACCATTTTGCAATAGCTTCTTCCTCCACTTTCTTTCTTTGGTCAATTTCACAGCCCAAAGCAAATTGTCGGAGGAACTTGTCTTGGTCCTGGATTTCTTCTAAGTCAGTTGTGACTTATTGCCAATTCGGTCCATAGGTTAGTGTCCTTCTTTCTAGGCACCAATTTATGATCTCCTTTACACACTTTATAATTTTCCTTTGTACTACAAAGGATGGTGATCCTTTAAGGTTGGACTTCCAAATGTCTGAAATAAGGCTTTCCACCTCTTGATGAGTTAAACACCAAGCCTCCATTTTATATGGTGTGCATCTTTTATTATTAGAAGGCTGGGTTTCAAGAATTAACGGGGCATGATCAGAGAACATGATTGATAGGTTCCATACTCTAGCTCTTGGGTAGATAAATTTCCATCCATCATTTGCATATGCCCTAAATCTAATTGTTCATAAAAGGGATCAAGAGTTCTGTTATTGCACCAAGTAAATTTTGATCCTATTGTCTTCACATTAGATTGGTTGTTCATGATTTTCCAGTTAATGAAAGAATCTACCCCTGGAATGTGATCATTTCCACCTAGCTTTTTTATCACTAGATTCTAATTAATTGAAGTCTCCATTCAAAATATAGTTTCCTTTGTGCCTAAGCATGAGATTATGAAGACTATCCCACACCTCCGATCTTTAAGACAAATAAGGACTACCATGCACACGCACAAAATAATAAGCAACATCACCTACTAAGTTTATATTACACAGAATGACAAAAGGCAGGACTTCGACAATATCAACCGAGATTCTATCTGACTAGCAAAGGAACAAGCCTCCCTTATTATCAATAGGATCCACAACCATATAACCCCTGAATCCCATCCGACTAAACATAGGGGCTAGAGAATTAATACTACATTTAGTTTCACTAAGAAAAATAAAATCTACGTTAAACCTAGCCGTTAGATACTTAATTACTGGAAAATTGGGGAGCTCTTATCACTTGGTCCCCTACAATTCCAACACAGAGCGTTCATTTTCCCCCCATAGGTTGTAGGTCAGCCGCGCCTTTCCCAGAACTTGCGGTTGTCTCCCTGCTGGTGACCTCATCATCCGAGCCAAAAGTATCCTCCTTCACTGCAATCCTCAGCACTTGAATTCTGACTGGCAGCTTTTCCTCATCTTCTGCATCTAGGAATTTCTCCCATAGATCATCATCCTTGCTTACTCCATACCTCACTCTTTACTAACTCCTTGATTCCCTTCATCTCCATTCTTCATCTCAGCTTTCCCACCTTTCGAACTATCTGCAGAGGCTGTTCTTTTAAGAAGGATCGAACCAGCCTTCTCCTTTCTCAACAAATCCTTCTCCACTCCATAACTCCACTTCTTCCTTCGATGACCTTCTTTAGAAAATCGCCTGCCTTTCCTTTTCTTAAAGAGCTTCTTCCTTTCCTCATGCGAGTAGTATTGTTGTTCAAAGTCAGAGGATTCTTATCTTGATTCGATCTCAAGCTTAGTCAGCTTAAACAGGGGTTCCATAGACTCAGAAGAAATTGATGAAGGGCCTGTGTTAAAGGAATCAACTGATGTAGGTGAGTAGGGTGGGCTGATGTTCGCTAAGGAGAACTTTAAAGAGCTAGAAGAAGATGCTAACATGGGACCCTTCAGCTTGGGCCAATTATGGGTTGGGTTCTCTGACAGAAGCTTGGGGACCTTGCTTGACTTTTTGGGGTCAAGTTTGGCCATTAAGGAAGCAAGTGAGATGTAGGAGTGGGATTCTTGTAGTTCACGGTAGGTTTTGAGTTCATTTTTGTTTACCATGATTGCTAGAAAAGAAAACTCAATTTCCCTAATGATGAGGTCTACCAAAATACTTTTAGGGCGAAATGGATCTAGAAGAGGATTGGGGGTATAAATTCTGTCTGTAGGTAATAAAGAAACATTATAATCATCTTCCTTGTTAAACTTCAATAAAAACAATCGGGAGAAAACGGCTTAATGAGCCTTTACCATTAAACACATATATATAGGCTTACAACATTAACCTAACATGCCAAAAAATCCTAACAAGATATATACAAATATATTCACAAAATATATCTCAACATAATTATATCCTAACACTCCCCCTCAAGTTGGAGCATGTAAATCATGAATGCCCAACTTGTTAAGAAGAAAACCAAACTGTCGTTTCCCAAGTGCCTTCGTCAAAATATCTGCTAACTGATGACCTGTAGGAACATACGCAGTAGCTAGATTACCATTCACCAACTCATCACAAACAAAGTGACAATCTGCCTCTATATGCTTAGTACGATCATGAAAAACAGGATGTTTAGCAATATGGAGAGCAGATTGACTGTCACAATACAACTTCATAGGCTTGGGATGCAAAATACCAAGAGAGGACAACAAAGATTTCAACCACTTTAATTCACAAGTTGTAACTGCCATAGCACGATACTCAGCTTCAATAGAAGAATGAGATATTATTGGTTGTTTCTTAGTCTTCCACGAGACAGGGGAACGACCAAGAAAAACCATATAACCAGACAAATAACAACGAGTCAAAGGACACACTGCCCAATCACTATCACAGAAAGCCGTCAAACACATGTCCTTCATAGGACGTAACAATATACCCTGACCAGGACTACCTTTGATATAGCAAAGTACCCTAATTGCCGCATCCCAATGTTGCACCTGCGGGTTACTCAAAAACTATGCAAGAGTATGAACAGAGTAACTCAACTCTGGACGAGTTATAGATAAATAAACAAGTCGCCCAAATAAGCGACGATACTGATCAGTTTGAGAGAAAGGCTCCCCCTCGGCATATGCAAGACGATGGTTTTGCTCCATAGGAGTATCAATAGGCTTACAACCTAACATTCCTGCCTCAGATAACACATCCAAAGCATATTTACGCTGAGACAAAAATATACCTTCCGGACCACGAGCAACTTCAATACCCAAAAAATACTTCATCACACCAAGGTCTTTCATGTGAAAACATCACTCAAATACGATTTAAAACGAATAATCGCATCATGAGAAGAACCAGCAATAATAAGATCATCAACATAGACAAGTACATGCAGAGAGACTGATCCCTAAATATAACTGAATAATGAATAATCTGCATACGATTGCTTGAAACCATACAATTTCAAGGCATTAGACAATTTAGAAAACCACTGCCGAGGAGCCTATTTCAGACCATATAAAGACTTACGCAACTTACAAACCTTCCCTGGAGTAGGACAGTTATAACCTGGAGGTAACTGCATATACACCTCCTCCTCCAAATCACCATGAAGAAAGGCATTATGAACATCCATTTGATGCAACTCCCAATTTAAAGAAGCAGCAATAGAAAGAAAAAGTCTAACAGTCCCCATTTTTGCCACAGGGGCAAAAGTCTCGTTATAATCAACACCTACAACCTGTCGATTTCCGTACACAACAAGACGACCTTTAAGTCGCTCTACTTCACCTGTAGATGTATATTTAATTTTATACACCCAACCACTACCAATAGCCTTCTTACCTGGAGGTAAGTCCTCCAATGTCCATGTGCCATTTCGTTCAAGAGCATCAATTTCTTCTTTCATCGCCTTACACCACCCTTCATGTTTCATAGCTTCACTAAACGAGGAAGGTTCTTTACCCTTTAAATTGATGTCAGAAAACACTTGTGTCTCATAGAAAAATTGTTATAATCAACATAACAAGCTATATCAAATTGTTTACTAGAAGAACATGATTGAGAGACGGGAGCAATAGTTGTTGATGGAGTGGGGTCTATTGCCTGTCGAACAACCGTATTAGTCACATAACCACGGAGCTTCGAGGATGGGATTTTTGTACGATGACCACGACCCAAAACCTCAACATTGTTAGGAGTATTACCCCCTACCACGTCACTATGAGCACTTGTTCACCCCCTCAACTCAAGAGAGGCGGTAGCAACATCATCACCAATTGAATCATTATCAGGCACATGCATATTGTTAACATCACCATGCAAAGAATCACTATTACCATGCAAATTATGAACCTCCACAGTAGCATGCATATCTTGCAAAGAGGCCACATCAGAAGCACTAACAATCTCACAAACAGGGGTAGGCACATGCAAATCATTATCAAAGTCTTCATCATCCCACAATCTAACTTGATTAAAATAATTTTCCCATTGCACTTTCTCCGACTCATCAAATATATCAATAAAAGGAAAAGTATCTTCAACAAATTGCACATCTCGGCTTATTAAAAACTCATTAGTCTCTAAATCATAAAACCTCCATCCTTTTTTTCCATATGGATAAAATTTTTCCTTAGCATGCGAATTATTCACAACATAACTCAAACAACCAAAAACACGCACTTCATCATAAGAAGGAGGTTTACTAAACAAACATTCATGAGGGGATTTTCCTTGTAAAATGGTAGTTGGAGTCAAATTGATAAGATGAACCGCAGCTAAAACACATTCCCCCCAAAAATACTTAGGTAAGTTAGCTTGAAAACGTAAAGCCCGTGCAACATTTAAAATGTGCTTATGTTTTCTCTCAACACGACCATTTTGTTGTGCAGTATCAACACATGATGTTTGATGCAATATTCCTTTTTTTATCGAAAAAGGACCTTAAACTCAAGAACTCTTGCCCATTATTACTTCTCAAAATTTTAATCTTTTTATTAAATTGAGTTTTAATCAAAGAATAAAAATTACGAACCAAATTTCCCACTTCATGTTTTCCAATCATCAAATATACCTATATTGCACGAGAATATATAATCATCCACAATAGTAAGAAAATATCTAGCATTACAACTAGACGATACTCTATTCGACCCCAAATATCACAATGTATCAAATCAACAAACTAGATGCTTTATTCATACTCAAAGGAAAAGAGTTTCGAGGTTGTTTACCCATAAAACAAATATGACAATCAAACACACCACAATTTTTATTCATACTACTACTAGCTACTCCAAGTAAAGAAGAAACTACTTTCATAGAACGATGACCTAAACGCCTATGCCATAACATACTTGCATCTGGAACCACCATAGAATTGATTTGAAAACTACGAGCACGGACCGGCCGGAAGATATAGACCCCATTATACTGCACCCCCGCTCCAATCAGGTTCTCCAAAGTGCGGTCCTGAATAGTACATAGCTTGTTAGTGAAAAAAAATATATATTTTTGCTTTCCTAATAATTGAGACACTGACAATAGATTACAATTTAATTCGGGAACAAATAAAACATCGTCTAATATTAAACCATCACGCAATTTTATTTTCCCTTTCGTAGTGGTCGTAGTACTTTTCCCATTAGGCAAACCAACGGGAAATAAAATATCACGCAAATTATAAAACAAATTTAAATCACCCGACATGTGATTTGATGCTCCGTTATCAATTATCCACTCATCCGAATTATACATACCGTGAGAATTATTGTCAGTTAAAGGGGGTGTTTTTATACCCTTAATAGCACTCATAAATTGTACCCACTGTTCATTACTCAAAGTTGGAGCACTTGTACGGTCAGCATCATTAATATCATCACCATTATTTTGCTTTGAGCTACTACTCACACTGCCAGCAAACCCATGACCACTAGAACCTTGCGCACAACCACCACAACCACCTCTACTTGACCCACGACCACCACGTTGATCACCACGCCCACTAGAATTAAAAGATTCGGGCCAGCCATGTAGATCAAAACACTTCTCCTTCACAACCCTTTTTGCCACAATTATCACATACACGAGATTCACCACTACTCGACCAAGTAGTCCGACCCTGAGCCGTACCAGACGCAGCAAACCCAATAGCGCCATCTGGACGATTATCGTGAGCATCCGAGATGGTTTGCTTACGTTCATCCGACACAACCTTTGTATACGCCACATTGAGAGAAGGAATAGGGTCCATCATGAGGAGAGTAGACACCACACTGCCAAATTACTTTGGGTCTAAACCAATACAAAATTGATGGAGTAATTCACTTTCAACAATTTTAGCATATTCAGGAGCAGCTGTACACGTACACTTGGGAATTTTGACATAACTAGCCAACTCATCTTGTAATTTACGTAACTCACCAAAATACACCACCACCGGCCTACCACATTGCTTGCAATCTACAATTTGAGCCTTTAACTCTAGAATACGAGGGCCGTTGCCAAGGGAATATCTATCACGTAGATCATCCCACAAGACTTGACATGGTCTGGAAATCGAACAGTCGATCGCACAGAAACATCCAATGTATTAACAATCCAAGCAACAAGCATTGAATTAACAATGCCCCATTGATCAAAATCAGGAGACTTAGCATCCGACACCTTAATAGTACCATCAATAAAACCGAGTTTGTTCTTCGCACGGAGGTTATTGCGTAAAGAACGAGACCACTCCTCATAGTTGTCTCCTTTCAACATAATAGGGCTTATCCCTTGTGCCTTCACTCCAATGGAGATAGTAGGGTGAAAACGATTTGTAGCGAGGGCCCTTAGGGGGCGAAACATCATCACCACCGGTCATCATAACTCAAGAAGAACAACAAAGAGCACTCAAAGCCGATGCACAAACTAGGAACACACGTAAACAATCTGGAAAAGAAGAACAAAGCTAGGGTTTGTGTTTGGGAAAAAAAAAATGGGAAAAGAACGTAAAAAAAATCTCTAATTTAGAGGGCTCTTGATACCATGTTAAACTTCAATAAAAACAATTAGAAGAACGGCTTAATGAGCCTTTACCATTAAACACATATATTTAGGCTTACAACATTAACCTAACATGCCAAAAACTCCTAACAAGATATATACAATATATTCACAAAATATATCTCAACATAATTATATCCTAACATTCCTTTGCCATATTTGTGGTTGACAAGCTGGACATAAAAGCGACAGTTGGTGGTTAAACATGAAGTGGAAAAGGAGTGTTGAAAGTGAAGATGGTGGGGCTTTTAAGCGAATAAAATAGGTGGTAAGCATAATGTAACTGAGAATAAAGGTATAATTCAGGTGAGTACCATACAGAGTTTCCATAAATGCTAGTAGTTAGGAGATTGGGTAAACCAATAGTTTCCAAATTTAAAAATGGAGGAAAAGAGCAATGAATTTATGAGTTAAACACATTGTTGTAGGAGTAAATGAGGGGGTCTGCTAGCTCAAATTTTGAGTCTCGAGAAATCTAGAGTGGCATCACAAAGACCCCTCGCGAAAGATGGTCAACACTACCAAGGCTATATGAGTCAACTAGCTCTAAATGGTTAGAAGAGCTTAATAAATTGGTAGTTGAGATATAAGGAGGGAGCTGGGAAGCTGGGTTGACTTCTGCTGACTTGCTCATCTAGACAATTTGACTCCGTTCAGCCGAACCTTGACTAACAGCGTTCTCTAGCCTAACTTCCGTTTTTCCATCTTGCTGAACGGGAGTTCACTACTAGAAAACAACCAATCAACGACGGAAAAATCCGTCGGAATACCCTGAAATTCCGTCGGAAATGCCCTTTTCCGACGGAATTCCGTCGGAAGGCACCGTCGCAACACCTATTGTAGGAAATTCGAGATATTCCGAGGGAAAATCCGTCGGAAGGCACCGTCGCAACACCTATTGTAGGAAATTCGAGATATTACGAGGGAAAATCCGTCGGAAAGGTCGATTCCGACGAATTTTGGTCTGTCGGAGTCAAGTTTGACTTAAATGGGAAGTCCATCGCAATGGTCCGTCGCAACTCTGGAATTTCAGCGTTGTCCAATGTGGAGTCGACGTCGGGATTCACATTTCGACCAAGATCTCGTGTTTTAGTGTCAACTGTCGACTGAAAGTAATTGGAGCAGAAGTTTGCTATCTCTTCAGTGAGATAAGCATTGCATATGGACCCTTCAACTCGAGCCTTATTCCCAATTTTTCGTTTCAAATGATTAAGGAACCTACAATTATAGTTATGTAAAAGTTTGAACAAGT